AGAAGCACGAGCGTTTGGCTATTTCCAAGCTAATATGGGGCTTTCTTTGAATTATTGTTTTTTGAGCTGGAAGGAAAGGAGGCTTGTCACACGAGATATCTGCTATCAGTACACAAATAACAGCAAGCCCATCATCGAATGGAAAATAATCGCCGCGGAAACCGAGTTGAGGGGGAGCCAGGAGGGATTATTACAGGCGCTGGCAGTGGCGATGCTGTCAAGGAGCCTGTGTCAGCACTTCCATTACCACCCACCTGGTTTCAGCACAGCCCCCGAAGCAGCGCACTGGGCTGTGGGGCCCCAGCATGGGGTCATTTCTATTCAGAAGAGTTTCAGATCAACTGGCTTTGATTGGGTTTAAATGATGGAGTGTTTAAGAGGGAGAGAGAGGAAATAGGAGGGCGAGATGGAGGGAGGCATCTCGGAGGAGGGGGAGTTTGGTACTCGGACAAGTGGAAAACAGTTTGAGACAGGAGAAATCAGGAGTTGGGAGAAAAGAGCTTGTCCTCCCGGGGGCAAGTTTCAGATGGCTGCGAGGAAGGACAGCGTGGGGAGAAGATGCCCCGAAACCTGGGCAGATGCCCTGGGGTCTGCCCAGTGAAGGGCCATTAGGAAAGAGCAAGCGCATCCCCAGCGGGGAATGTGTCCCCATCAGTGCTCCCTACCCGCTGCCGCTGCCTGTGCCACCCACGGTGGCAGTCCCTGGGGAGGCACCTGGCTGCGCAGTAAGCCATCAGTAGAGCTCAGCAATTGAATTATAAACAATTTATTTCATTCATTTGGCGACTTGCTGAGCTCCTGGGCAGAGCAAGCCCTCACACCTTGTAAACTTTGCTCATTCAGAGTGACTTGGGAGCATCATTTACTCCGTGCTGCGTAGTGACAAGGGACTGTATACACCACGTGCTGTCATGGCTGTTGGCGGGCAGAGTCCCTTTTTTCCTCACTTAAATGCTCTCCAAAACAGCATTTCCCACTCTGCTTGTGAGGGGAAAGCTCTCCCTTCCAAGTGACCCAGTCCTGGCCCGCAAACACCTCGCGGTGCTGTCAGCCCTCCATCCCGGGGCACAGACACAGCGTGGGAGCAGGGATGGCTTCATGCCTTCATGCCTATTAGGTGCCACGTGTGCATTGCTGGTACCTGAGCCCAGCTCCCAGCCCAGAGCCTGGGTCCCGTTAGCAGTCACTTCGCAGTGAATCAGACCTGACTCAGGGAATTACGTTGGATCCATATCGATGAAACTGAGGGCAGGATCTGGCCCTCGATCCCCAGCAGGATCAAGAGGGTTCGGTTCAGTCCCCGCCTGGGCTGGGATCCGTTTGCAGATGCCCTCCGACGGAGCCCGTGGACAAATTCCTCCATGCAGGGGTACGTCTGCACATCAAGCGCTCTGCTTTCAGAGCAGGAAATATTCAGTTTCAACACTTGGAGTTAAACATTTCCTCGAAGCCCAGGAGACCACGCAAACAGCGGGAGCACCAAGGCCTTTTCATCTCTCTGGCACTGGCAAGCGGGGGGTCGGCAGCGGGGAAAGCACGGCAGAGCCGAGGAGGGTAAACACTGGAGCTGAGCCTACCGAGTAACCAGAGAGTGAAGGGGAGAGAGAGGGGCAAAGAAAACAAAAACACAGCTGCCAAAAAACAAAAGCCTGAAAAGAGCCATTCAGGGTCTCCCAGGAGCAGGTTTGGCACAGGGCAGGGAGGGAAGAGTGCCCTGAGCAAATCAATGCCCTCTGCTCCCTCGAGCGGGGTAAGCATCTACACCCCAGCATGGTCCAGCCACACACAGAGCGCGGCATCCTTTGCTTTTTCATGGGTACCAGGATGCCCCTGCTGTGGAGAGGAGAGACGGGATGTACACATCTCCCTCCACTTTTGCATTCACAGACGAAACCTAAGGACTCACGATGCCCATCCTCTCCGGGGCACGCTGCGGATGTGGCCGCCGCTGATTTGGGGAGACGCATCCGCCGGCAGCCTCTGTGGCACTGCGGGCATGCAGCGGGTTTCACAGATCTGGGGAGGCTTGCGTAGGTGTCCTGTTGGCACGGGAGATGATCCCTCCCTTCTGCCTGTCACTCCCACTTAGCCCTGCTCCTGCAAAAGCGCAGTTGTCAGCCCCTTGGGCCAGGAGCCAGGGCTCCTTCTGTCTCCTGCTTTGCAATCTATGTCAGGGACTTGGCTGCGTGTCCCGGCCCCTGTTCTCCTGCCCCTCTGGAAGCCCTTGCTTCAGCGTGAGCACCAGCCTCCAGTGCTCACTGGAGCAAGGGGATCTTCCCCCGCTGTCACGGGGATGCAAGGTGACGGCTGTCACGTCCTTCCTTGGCAGGAATTCGTCGCCATATCGTTGGTGTAGCTGGTGGGTAAGGCCATTGCTGCTCATTTCTCACGCTGGCCTGGACTGGGGTTGGGAGTGGCCGTGGAAGGCAGCAAGGCCTTCCTATGGCCTGAGATCCCTCCCGGTTGCCCGGGCTGTGAAAATCCAAAGTCACCTCTGCTTTAGGAACATGCACCCCATGGAAAAGCCCTGAAGAACAAGCAGGGAGCGAGGACCTGGGCATGCAGGAGGTTAAAAAAGCTACCAGCCTGGTGCAACAGAGCTGGTCCCCAGGCAGGGCCTCAGCTGCACCTCCTGGTCTGAGGCTGCCCATCCCAGTGCTGCGGTCCAGCACTCTCCATCACCTCCCCCAGCAAACAAACACCCCTGGGTTCCCTGGAGAGCAGAGACCCAGGGGTGCTCAACCTCCGGTTCACCCTCCGGTGCTGCCAAGAGCATCCCTGTCCCGCCAGCCCAAGCTGTGGGTGGCAGGCGGGGGGAGCTCATGGGCGCTACGGCGGTGGCCTGGGCTGGGAGCAGGGATGCGGCACAGTAGGGTGGAGGGCAGCCTGTTTACCCGTCCATCTGCACACCCCACAGCGGGGATCCAGCAGGATTTCCCGTCCACTCAAAGGCTGCCTGTTTATTTTGGGAGGGAGACTCAGACAGCTCCATTGTTTTGCTGCGAAGTTGGGGTTATAAATAGCAGGTGGTCGGGAATGCTCCTGGGCTATTTTGGGCCCCTGCTATACAAAAGTGGAAAAGCTCCAAGAGGAAGGTGGAATTACTGAAATGCCGACCTTTCCCGCAAGGGTCAGCAGGAGCTGGTTGTTTGGGTTTGGGTTGGGTTCTGGGCATTATTTAAACACAAGGGAAGGAGGAGAGGGGACGATGTTCCCAGTTGCACGGGCTGCACGCTGTGCCCTCCCCAGCAGAAGGGCGGTGGGGATGAGGAGCCGAGGTGCCTGGGGTCTGCCAGGGCTCTGCCCGGGAGCTGTCGGGAGCAGTCCAAGTCTGGAGAAGAGACTGGCTGGGTTTTCCTCCTGGCTCTGCAAATGGGAGAGCTCTCAGTGGCTGGAGAAGCTGGGGAGGTAGGGGATGCCCCATAGCACTGGCCTGCTCTGACTTGTCCCTCGTTCCTCAGTTTCCCCCACCTCCTATAGGGAGGCTGAAGAAAAGGGCAGGCAACGTCCCGGTGACAGCCCCGCTCCCTCCAGTCACATACACTGTGTCCTGCTGGAAAGCAAGGATGAGCCAAGGTGACTCTCAAACTTATTTCAGACCCTTCCTCTCGTTAAATGCCTGCGCCAGGCGGTTATACAGTGAGCAGCAGGGACCCAGTAAAGCCGCTCACACCAATGTTTTATACTTTGAGAAGGTCTATTCCTTTAATGGGGATTCATTTAACTGGGCTCTGCCATCGTTAGGAGCCATAAAATGGCACCTTTTGGCTCCTGATTGGAAGGCCACGGTGCACGCAGCCCCCTCGTATCCAGCGCTGGCTGCTTTATTGTGCATTACTGCCTCTCACTCGGATTTAACCAATTTGATCCATGTCTAATACATAAATAAATAATCCAGCAGGAGGGTTCACGTTAGATGACAACAGGCGGCTATAAAGCATGTTTCTCCCCGCTGGAGCCATCTGAGCCGGGCTCCGCACGCCCTCTCATGAGCAGAGCTGCTAATACAGCTGGGAGAGGGGGGCCTGGAGACCCGCGGGCTTCTCTGTTTTATTGAAACTTCATTGTTTGCTTTAGAGTTTTATTTTATGTTAAAAAGACGCCATATATTCCTTACAGAGGGGGCAATAAAGTTTCTGAGCTGGAGGAAATTGGCTTAGGAGCAGGGATTGAACCAGGGAGATGTGGCTGGGCAGGGAAGCGGTGAGGAGGATTTAGGGTGAGGAGGGTGTGAGGCAGCGCCCCGCTTCCAGGGCAGCCCCAGGGCTCAGCCCAGCTCGGGATCGGGGTCCGCAGGCACCCCCAGATTTCACCCAGAGATGATGCAGCCCCAGAGGACGCAGGGTGAGGGCGGCTGTGGGGTCTGGAGCTGCTGGTGGTGCGGGGAGGGCGAGGGGCCCACTCCCAGCCCAGGGATAGGGTGAGCAAACCCCAGTGACCACCACTGCTGCCATGCCGAGCATCCGGACCCGCTCCCTGCCATCTGCAGCACAGCGCCACGGGGTCTCCTCTGCCTCCCAACCATTGTGTGCCCATGGAGAATCGCTCTGCCCTTCGGGGGGGTGATCCTGACTCACCCGATTTCAGGAGTGCCATGGAGAATGAAGATGGCTCTCCTTAATTTACTGTTATTAGTTAATAGGAACAGTGGGCAGTGCTGTGTTCATCCGTCTGCCCCAAGTCACACCGCCTGCACCGCAAACTGGGGAAGCCGGGGTTGCACAGAGTGACTCCCAAAATGTGGCTGTTGCTGCTCTCCCTGTAAGACTGGAGGGATGACAGCCAGAGCTGGGATGCTCTTGTGCCAGTTGCTGTCCTGCTGCAGAACAGAGCCAGTCCCTGCCCCAGGAAGCACGGGGTGGGGAGAGAAATGGGGCTATACTGGGAGAAAATCCCCCAGTTTCAGACCTCAACTAGGATGGAGACCAGGGCAGAGCGCAGGCAATGCCGATGGCAGCTGATCAGAGCTAAAGCTTTCTCCCCTCTTTTCCTCCCCGCAGGCAAAAAGAAAGCAACTTTGTTTGACAGCCAGGCCCTGATCTGCCCCATCTGCCAGGTCCTCCTTCGCCCCGGGGAGTTGCAGGAGCACATGGAGGAAGAGCTGGAGAAGCTCACCCAGCTGAACATCAGGTAAGCAGCTCCCTGGGGTCCACCAGCATCCCCAGTTAGCCAGCCGGGGCACCCGCAGATGGCAGAGGAGATGGTGGTACCCACAGCTACCAGATACGGGAGATCTAGTGCTAGCCAGTGGGGCAGAAACATTTCCCTGGAGTTCACCACAGTGGTAAAGCCAGGCAGAAATGCCTCCCAGAGGGCACAGACACCCCTCTCCCCGGATACGTCTGTTAGGCTGAGGAGTTCTCACGTTGCTCACTTCCCATGATGGACCAGGCCTGCAGCAACAGTGCGCACTGCCCCTCGGCTGCCTTCAGCTCCCTTCTGCTTTCCCCAGCACAGCAAAGTCCCCTATTTAAAAAAAAAAAAAAAAAAAAATTGCATTTTAACTGCTAGCAGTTATTTAGGAAATGGCTGCAGCCAAGGGTTGGCAGATCCCTGCCCCTGCCTTAATAAAACTCAGCAGCCTTGGAAAAGAGCATGTTTATTTCAATTATTAATGAATTCCCCGGTCATTAAAAGGTGAGGAAAGGAATCAAACTGCCGACTAGAAGCAAAGTTACGTCACCAGGTGGTAGGAGAGGAGGGAGAGCGCGTGTGTCAGTGTGTGTGTGCGCGCGCGCCAGGGCAAAAGGGGTGCACGTGGCTGTGCATAGTACGGAGCACGCAGAATCCATCCCTGCCCAGCTTGGATCTTCTTTGCAACTGAGCAATAGCCATTGCAGATGAAGGGAGAAGGAGGGAGCTTTAGCTAGAGAAAGAGACACCTCCCCAAATGGGTCTGGGCTCAGATCTCCCAAATTCGGCACCCACAGCCTCAGGCTGAGACCTGCATCCCCCACGCATTGCACAGGAAGATGGAGAAGGGGGGGCAGGGGGCAGGGAACAGGCAGCCCATTTATCCCCCACGACACCCAGTCCCCTTGCGAGCGTAATTTATGGTGTAATTTGGGCTGCATCCAACTTAATAAAGGGCCACTGCAAATTAGTGAACAGGTTTAAATGAACAGAAGCAATTAGTGCTCGGAGTAGCCCATCAAAGAAGTTGGGCCAATATCAGAGTGAAACTGAAACCGCAAGCCAGGAGCGGAGGCTGGCTGGCGCGAGGCGGTGATGGGAAGGTGGCGTTTAATGGGAAAGGAAAGGAAACCCTAAATCATAAAGCATGACAAGGGCCATTGTGGGCCAGCTGACAAATGAAAAAGAATGGCATTATTCCTTTAAATAACAGCAGCAGTTAGAGAGAAGACAGCTCTCCCCGGCTTGCCCTCGCTTCCCTGGCCCGCTCTGCTCGGCCACACAGGCAGCGAAGAAGAATCAGAGGTCTTTATTAATTATTAAATAACGACTCCCTCCGTAGTGTGATAGATAACGTTCAATCTAGTCGATGGATTCAGGCGATGGAGGCTAATCTGTAACACAGCAGCTCTGCACAGGGACGGTCTCTCCCAGTCCCGGAGGGGAGCGATGCGGGGGCCAGCCAGCAGCAGCAGCAGGCAGGGCGGGAGCAACAGCGGGCAGCAGCAGCGGGCAGCGGGACGCAAGCGGGTCGAGCTCCTGTGCACTGCCCGGCTCCGGCGGGGCGGCTCAGTCTAGCAGGTGGCCCCATCTCCCATTCCCCCACCTTTCCCGGCTGGAGGAGCCGGGAGCAAGAACACATCAACAAGAGGAGAGAGAAACTAATAATGATCTCAAATAACCCAATAAACATAAAAATAAAATGTAGGCCTATAAATGTGACGGGCACCGGCAGCCCTGGCCGCCCCCTGCCAATACCGACTCGTTACCGAAATGGCTGAGCAGCTGTTACTTATCAGTCTGATGGGGAGAAGCGAACCGGGGGGCTGCTTTCCAAGGGCCTTTTTTTTTTTTTTAATTTAAAGAGGATGCAGCCAATCATGGCCTGTGCTGTTAAGTTTTAATAATCCTTAATGATTTGCAACAAAATCATAAATTTCCAGCGCTCGGGGTTAGGAAGGCAGATCCCCTCCTGCCCGCTGAGCCTGCAGCACCAGAGACTTGGCGGGCACCGCATCAGCTCCTGCCATGGCACCAGGGCTCCGCGTGTGCCGGGATCTCCCCTGAGGCAGCACGGCCGTGGGGCTGTGTGGCGGGGTGAGCCAGCTGAGATGCTGCTGTAGGGCCAGATCAAGAGGAGGGGAGAGGCTGGTGGAGAAGCAAGGTGGAGGGGCTGCCCCGCACCATCGCTTCTGCCGGGCGTTGAGCGCTCACGTGGGCTTTCAGGTGTTGCCGGACCAGGGAGCTTGGCATCACTCGGAGCAGGGCAGAGGAAGGGAAGGAGGACAAGGGATTCCTCCAGCTGAGCACAGGAGCGTCTTGGGGCTGAGATACAAGGGAGCTGTAGGAGCCACCTGGATGATGCTACCCGTGGCCCCAGCTCACCAGGAGCCTGGGGTTGCGTCCCACCCACCCTGATGCATCCCGGTGCGGATGGGGTTTGCTATCCCCCAGTGACACGGACAGCTCTTCTTCCCCACCGGCAATGCCCGTATGACTGTCCGGGCCTCAGGGCAGGGACATCTCAAGGTCTAGCCAGCTGGAGCACCATGCGGCGAGGCAGGAGGAGCCATGCTGAGCCACAGGGCAGCACCCGCTCATGCCAAGGGGCTGTGCATGCCCAGGGGATGGACACCGGCCGTTGGGCCGGTGATGAACATCACTCGGGACGATCCAACCCTTGGATCAAGCTTTCCCTTGAAAGGGTCAAGCTTTCCCTTGAAAAAGCGGACTTGAGTGGGAATGAGGGACCTGAGTTTCTAGCTCTACTGCCTTCTTGGTGTGTCCAGTCTCCCAAAGCACAGGGAGAGACCTGCTTGTGCTCGCCCCACAGCTCCTCCACCCTGCGCGGGTCCGGCCGAGCACCGTGCACAGCTCTGCACGGCGAAGCAAGGCTCTCTGAATGCAAATTTCATTTCTGAGCCACTGGCGCTGTTTCAAGAGCCGGCAGCCTCCGAGCCCTTCTCAGTGTTACATATGTAAAAGCCTCATTGAACTTGACATGTCAAATTCAGGCCATTTGTGCAAAATCTCCCTTTAATAATACCGTTTCATTTCGCTCAAATGAGACTTGAATGCATGTAAAATGGAAAAGGATATTTAAGCGCTAACATTAGGCAGATGTCTTGCCAGAGGCCGATTGAATATATGAGATTTTGAAGTGCTTAACACGTTTTCGGTGCTCCCTCTTAGAATATGTCACCTGGCTTTCTTTTTTCTCCCCCTCCTTTCTCTCCCCCCCCCCCCCTTTAAGTGAAGGGTATAAATTGAAAGAAAACAAAACTACAAGCCTTGGGTTTATGGGGTTTAACTCTTGCCGGGCAAGACTGTTGGTATTCGTCCTCCAAAGAGAAATTACCTAGTAGCTCACCTTCGCAGAGCACAAGCACAAAGCAGCAGAGAGCGGGAGGCAGGCGAGCGGCGGCCCCACAGCACTTTGCAGAAGGATTGCTCTCCTTGCTCTGCATGTACAGCTCGGAGAGCAAAAGGTGCCGGTCCCCAGCTAAGCACCTAAGTGCCACCAAGGTAAAAATAAGAAATAAAAACAGCTACCCTCTCTGTACGCCGATGCCCTGTGCCCCCAGCCAGGCTGGTCCCTGCAGAATACATGAATATTCCTGGCTCGTGTGCCTGAAGCTTATCTGTGCACTAGATGCAGGTCTCCTATCCTCACTGGATTTATATTCACCTGTTTTACACCTCATCCGTATTAAAGGCTTGCAATAAAGCACACTGAAATGTAAGACTCTTTCTGGAGCTGTCAATGGCCCCAGCTCCGAGCTTCAGCTGCAGGTGCATTTCCCCAGCCCAGGGCCACTCGGGGAGCGCAGGCAGGCACAGTGTTCACAAGCAGTACCCATGGGTGTCCCCCAGGACAGGCGCGAACACACACACACATCCCCGTGCACGTACAAGTGTATCGCTGCATTTGTCACTGCAGGTAAATACTAGGAGCGGAGGTGGCAATGCACAAGGGGACCCTTAAACCCTGCCCGCTGCTCCCCAAGCAGTGACCAGAGAGGACAACCTGCTGATGATGGGGGAGGCTGGGTGGAGAAGTGGCAGGTTTGGGTTATGGTTTGAGTTTGGGGTGGGAGGGAAGATGAATTTGAGGACAAAAGAGGGGGAAAGGAGGCAGTAGGAGCTGTGGAGCACACCTCAGCTGATGGCCCCCGATGGGTCTACGGTGCTTTCTGAGCCCCTGGCTGGAGTTTGGGGAAAAGGCATTTATTGGCCATTTAAAAAACCTTAGGAAGTCACATTACAAATATTACAGTTGCCGAGTCAAGCACTTGAAGTTTGGGAAATGTGCCTTTTAAGATGATCTGTTCTTGAAAATGCAGTGCTCTTTTTAAAAAAATTATTTGGCAAGGGGCATTTTTATTTCCCTGTGTGACAGCTAGCAGATTCTTCCCTGCATTACCAGCAGCAAACCTATGCTTCAGAGCTGTGGTTTCACCTCCCCAAAAGGATGAGGTGTATCATTAAAGCTGGGGAATGGTCCAGAGGGTGGAGCAGTGTTGGACCATGCCAGCTCCGTTCCTGCTTTTGCGGCTGAAGGACGGTGCGAGCTCAGACAGGACTATCTCAGCTCTTTCCCCCTATTTAAAGGGGTTTCTAAGCTTAGCAGATGTAGCCAGCAGTATCCTCCTGCCATGTTGTAGTATTACCTATGCCTGTGCTATGGCATCCCGGGGCTGGGCATGGCGGTACAACAGACGCCCGGGGTGCTCGGCGGGTGCCTCCGGGGGTGGATGTGCTCGGGTGGGCAGATGGGGGATGACGGTGCTCTCACAGTGCCCCATGGCTGCGCAAACTCTCCCTTTCTTCACTTTTCTTCCTTTCTTTCCTTCGCATTGAATGCTTAATCTGAGCATATTTGTGTTTTGAAGCCCATGCCCGCCTGTTGGCTGTTCCCAGCCTGGGCTAGCAGCTCTCATTGCTCCTTGCCACCGCACCGGGAGTGTGGGGAGACATCCCTGTGCACCCAGCATCTC